GTAAAATGGTAAACCTTCTTACCTGTTACATTAATGTGGGATACTGGGTACCTCTTCTTGGAGCTTTGTTGGAAGAAAAATATAAGTAGAAAAACCCAAAAAACATATGCAGTCTAAGTGTAAGGAACCAGTATATAAGGACTTTTAAGGAACGGAGGTTTTAAATTGTGCTAATGGTCGGTAAAGATAATGCCTGGAGGTGTATTTTTTAAACATGCCAGGAAGATTTACCCTGTAAAAGATAGGAGTCCAATAATTAGGTGAACATGGGCGGGAAAATTAGAAACACATATTATTTAACCAGTGGTGACTTTAAGAGCCATGTAATAAATACATATAAATCTAAATAGGATAAATAATGTGAGTGCTTAGTTACGTGTAAGCAAACTATGTACAATTACAGTAGATTTGATCATTTAAACATTGTAGCCTCTTGCTTTCGGTAAACGAATGAACAGGAGAACTGTAATGAGAAAGAACTCCTGTGTTTGGTTAAATTGAGCATACAAACAAATTTTAAACAAAAGCCAATGTATATGTGTTTGGCTGAACGACCGAACGAACGAACGGATGAAATAGTCGAATGTAAGTTTGTTTAGTGCGGTCGGTAGTTAGTTTATATGAAAATGTAAACGACAGGAGTATGTACTCTGTGATCGGCTGTTAGCCGCACGAACGCAGAAGTACACGAACGGAGTAAGAGCAAGAATGGGTAAGTAATGAAGGGAGCCTATCCCCGCGTTTTTAGGCAAACGCCATTTCCCACGTTTATGCTTACGTGGACTTGCCGGTCTCGTGACCGGAAGCCGGGTAGCAAGTGGCGAAGTCGGGTAGAAGCCGGTGGACGGCACGGAAGACGGAGGCAGGAGCTGCTGGTGACCGACTGCTTGCTGGAGACTGCTTGAGACAGGACTTGGCGGGAATGACGAACCCGAAGTGCAGGTGTAATGGCACCCCCAGGCATAAAAGGGTTAAACCGCCGTTTAGTAGATCTTCCCCTTACAGAGACACAGGCAGCTACTGTAGACACCAATCCACCGAACCGGAGAAGCATATGAATGCTCTCAAACATACGAATGCTGTAAACAGCCGAATAGGAAAAACCATACAAATAGGTTTACACTCCTAGCAGTCGAACTGGAACAGCATACAATAAATCCCCCCAAGAACGAGACAAGGCTCCGTTTTGAGGGTCAAGCAGGAACAGACAGAGCTGTGGGTTTATTGTTCTTATGTACACATTCTTACACATTAGTACCACCCACAGGGTTTTGGAAAACAACAAATAAACACGTACAATACACTCAGATACTCCCACACAAAATCCTCCCCTCTGCCTGTGATACAATTACCGTACACAATGGGTAATGCAATTATCACAGCCAGAGAAATACAGTTTTTTCACATTATTCATAACTTGAAAAGTATGCATCACATTCACATTACATTTTCAGAATCAGCATACTCCAAATACACACATATGTCAAAATCATCCAAATTGGTCCGTTCAAAAGATAGATCGAAGTCCTTTGTGACCAAATGCCCAAAACCAGTTCCACAGAGTCTTCTATCCTGGAGATAATTGGGAAGTAATCCAATTATCTCCAAGGACAGAGGCAAAACTCCATTAAGCACATGGCAGTAAAAAGACAGTAAAATACAATAAAATAAAATACAATAAAATACACAAGGTTACATTTATGACATATAATACAGACATGCAACATATGCCCAGATAGCTTAGGTCTGAGCGCACATTAATACTGAATGGCGCTCAGACTACACACACATACAGTTCAATTGCCATGGAGCCAAAGTCTTTTATTACACGAATAGGCTCCATGGCATAGCTATCTGGGTTATATGAGTTCATTCAGTAAATCCGAGACTCTACTGAATGCCAGGGCAGAAAACATGAATAGACCTTTCTGCATAGGAAAATAAAGTATTTAAATGCCAGTCCATAGTCAAAAGGCAGCAGGCAGGCAACCAGGCTCCTCCAACGCACAGTGGCGAGATTGGTCTCGTCACAGCAGGTAACTATGGAGACAAACAGCTTGCATGACAAAGGTAAGTAGGGGGGTAGGGTTTATATAGGATCATAACTCCTCCCACAAATTCAGGCCAAATGGTCTTCCAACATATAATTAAACCTTAGATAAATTCAGAAGCATTTGGGAACCATGGGGAAGACTTTATGAGTTGCAAAACCAACTGCATACACATCGTCAAGGGGGCACTCCTTGAGCTTTTTCAGCCATCCCCCACCCCAGTTTTCGCATGACCTGTTAGTGACTTTAGGTATGCTGATAGTAGAACCTTACCTTTGTTTGGACTTTTGTAGCAACCATACAGGTATCACAGAATTTAATGAATGTCTGTCAGATGGTCTTATTACTAATGTCTCACTTTCTGCAACTGTTTGAAATGTAAATACTGCAATCTATGCCTAGCGTACTATTGTTGTGTGCATACTTATCTTTTATCTGGGAATAAACAATATAAAATTATTCCATTTTAAAAAAATTCAAATTAAAAAAATATTGGCATAATAATATGTTTTTGTTTCTGCACAAAAACCTATAATTTCATCCTCCACCTGTAATATTAAATTCAGCCAAGAGGTGAATTAGTAAACCACTGATTTCTCATTGAAAGAAATGTGAAAAGCACTGCACCAACCTGCTTGAGTGACTTCACTCCATTGAGATAGCAGTGGGATACTGTTCCATCAAAGGTGCCTGTTCAAACCTCATGGTTGCAGTATTCATTGACAGCAGGACACACTCAGTCATCATTCTGATTTCAACAAAACATTTACCATTAATTTTGGTGATAGTTACATAGATTAATCTGCTGCCAGAATTGTTAATATCTGAGAACATTAGCTAAATTGCTTTTTAGTCTTGGGGGAAAAGCCTTTCATAAAAAATAGATTATTATCTTTAAACAGACATAAATCCTGCACATGTTCTACATCTGGCAGGGTTTCCATTCACTTGCATATCTCACAAGGGCTTTAGATTTATGCTGTTGTGCACTACCTGCTCCTATTCATTTCAAGGGAAAGGCTACATATTCAAGCATGGGGGTATGCAAGGTGAGTGCCAAATTATCCTTCATGGCCTCCATGTAGCTCCTTACAAAAACATTTTTTGTTCATTATACCATTATTGGGTATCCTGTTGAAAAAAAACAAAAAATAATTTTTACAAACAGAAAATAAAATTGTATTTTGTGGCTCATTTTTTAAAGGAACAAAGTAGTGTTAGGAATACATATCTGTATATTCCGATGCCCTTTTCCATGTCAGACTTAAAAAACTAAACAAAAAAAGTATTTAAATCAAATAAGCCACCTCCAGTGCCGAGTCTCCTTAGGTGCTACCGTTACCTCCTCCTCAGGTTGCGTCATCCTGTAGGCATGCCTCCAGAATGACAGGCCAAACCAATGCTCCTCATAGAGGAGCCTGGGGCTCACTGGATGCGCCTACCAAACCTCCATAGAGAATCATTGTATTCAACAATTCTCTATCGCTGACTGTGATAGCACTGCGCATGCACAAGTGACGTCATGGTATGCTACGGTATGAGAGCCGGTAAGTAAGATTCCTGGATCTCTCATACCCAGAGGGCTTAGAACTGTAGCTTAAAGCTGTGCTTCCAAAGCTTCTAATTAATGAAATAAAGGGATTTCATGGGTAGTACAGGGGAGAGCAGGATTGCAGGTACTATTATTTTTATTATTTTTATTATTATTATTATTATATTTATATGGTGCCAACAAATTATGTAGCGCTTTACAATGGGTGGGAGGGATTGAGGGCCCTGCTCAATGAGCTTACATGCTAGAGGGAGTGGGGTAAAGGCACACAATAGGTAAGGGAAGTAGATTGACAGAATAATAGTTAATGAAGACTTTGTGTGGATTATTTTTAATGACAGTTGCAGGAGATGAATCAGTTGGGAGCCATTAACAGTTTAATTGATATGTTTTTGTGAGTTTTTAATGATTTGAGTGGAGACTAGGTGAGCGTCTAACAGAAAAGGGAAGGGAATTCCACAGGAATGGGGCATCCCTAGAGAAGTCTTGAATTTGAGCATTGGAGGTAGGAGTACGAACAGAGGATAGATGTAGGTCTTAGGCAGAGTGTAGGGAAGTAGACGGGACATATTTGTGTATTACGGAGGATAGGTGGGAGTAGAATTATGTAGAGATTTGAAAGCAAGAACCAGAATTTTATATTAAGCCCTATATTTTACGGGAAGCCAATGCAGGGACTGACAGAGGGGTGAAGCGTGGGAGGTGCGGGCGGGCAGGAAAATGAGCCTCGCTGACACATTCATTATAAATTGCAATGGGGCAAGTTGGGAGCACGTAAGACCACTGAGAAGCGGATTGCAGTAGTCAAGATGAGAGAGGACAGTGGCATGGACCAGCACGTTAGCCGCATCTGACGTTAAGTAGCACAATGTTATTGAGATGGAAGCGGCAGGATTTGGCAATCGACTCAACATGAGGGGTGAAGGAGAGGTCGGAGTCAAAGAGAACACCTAGGCAGCGAGCCTGCATGGTGGTGCTGATGGTTACACCATTAACGTGGAGCGAGACAGACATGGGAGTAGCAACACTTGAGGGAGGAAAGACCAGAAATTCTGTTTTGGACAAGTTGAGCTTAAGGAAGTGGGCAGCCATCCAGTTATAAACGTGGAAGAAAAAGGTTTGGTAAACCACACCAAAGAAGAAAGGTGTATAAGACAAATTAGTACATATACACAGGGCCATCTTTAATATTAATATACTATAATATTAATATTGATTGGGCCCTGGGAAAGCATTTGATGGGACCCCCTGGCCCCCACTCCCTTACATGCAATCACGCACTCCACTTCTCAACGCAGTAGCAGAACCATTTTCCCATGATTGCAGAGTTGTATTTAGCACTGAGCTGTGTTTGTGTGTTTGAATGGAAGCATGTTTTTGTATGGCGTATGTTTGTATAAATGTAGGGGTGTGTTTGTATGTGGTTTTGTTGTTTGAATACAAGCATGCATCTATGTGTAGTTTTTTTTAATGCTGGGGTGTGTTTAGATATATTTTTGGTGTTTAACACAAAGGTGTGTTTGTATGTATTGTTGACGTTTCAATGCAGGACTGTGTTTGTATGTAGTATTGAAGGTTGAATGCAGGGGTGTACTTGTGTGTAGTGTTAGCGATTTGAATGAAGAGATATATGCATATGTACACATACACTGCCACACACACACACTGTGATACACATACACACAGATACACACACTGAAACACATGCAGATACACAGATATAAAACACTGACACATTAACACACATGCAGATGCAGACTGACACAGATACACACACTAACACATATAGAAACACAGATACACAACCTGACACACATAAAAAGACATATGTACAAACACTGACATATGGATACTCAGACACACTGATGCATATACTGACACACATGCCGATACACAGATAAAAACACTGACTATATACAGATGCACATAGAGATATACACACGCAGGTACACACACTGACAATATACAGATACACAAATACATTCAATGATAACATACATATACACACACTGACACACACACAGACACGCACAGACAGACAAACTGACACACACAGAGACATAGTGACACACAAACATAGTGACACACAGACATACTGACACACACATATGCCCACACAGACATGGTGACATACAGACATAGTGACACACACAGACACCCTGACAGACATACTGAAACACAGAAATGGTGACACACACACAGACACCCTGACAGACATACTCACACACATACACACATACTAAGACACACACAGTCATACTGACTCACACAAATACTGACACACACACACACACATACATACATACTGACACACATGCAAAGTTTAAATTTATAAAGCCCCCCTCCAGCCCTACCTTATAGGTTCAGGAGGTTGGTTCCCTGGGGTCCAGTGGCAGGCTGAGGTAGTTGGGAGTGTGAGGCTCTGGCACTCCAGGTCCCTCCTGACGGCTTTCTCCTTCATCCCACGCGGCTTAATTATATCTGGGAGGAAGTGACTCACAGCAGTCACTTCCTCCCAGCCTGCTGCCGTAAAACAAGGGGGGCCCAGTCGTGCTGTTAAAAGGCCACAGCGCACAACCGGGCCCTCTTAGTGTGTGGGCTCCCGGTGCAGCCGCAGCACCAGCAGGGTCCATAGGCAAATAAAATCAAATTTTGCAGACAGCGGGGCCCATGGGGTAGCTGCTTTTGGCCCCCCAGGAATAACTGGTCCTGGGGCAGCTGCCCCATTTGCCCCACTTTAAAGACAGCCGTACATATACATACACTATATGAGGTCCAATTATGTATGGGTATATGATGACCTCAAATAGTGCAAGTTTTAAAATATCAAGCAAGTTTTAAAATATCTTTTAAAACCCAATAAAAGACTAATTTACACTTTTTAGAGCGCTCTGCTGCTTAGTGCGTGGATGGCACAATCCCCGTCTTACGATATATAGGTATTCCTTGTATTAGACACCGAATTCTCAGCAGTCAAATAAATAAAAAAAAAAATAGAAAAAGAACCAATGGCGCAGTATACTGTAAGTAATATAAGATATAAAAGCAGGTAGGTATCCTACTTACAATGACTTGCTCTGGTAGTATTCGCTTATGGTGGTACAATCCCCACCTTGGATGTGCAGAAAACAGATGTAGTAGAACAGCAGCAGGGTAAGGTAGAATAATAAAAAAATAGGGGTATATTGTAACAGTTAACTTTCTTGGAAATTTGGAAAGGTTTTGGTGAAAGCCAAAGGTTATTAGCAATTAAAAAAGGAATGTACATATAAAAAAGATAAATAGTTTATTTAAAGAGGATAATATATTAGAAAATAGTTTATAAAAAGTTAAATAAATCCAACTCTGCATTCAATCCATTTGAATGTAGGATATCCAAATGATATACCCACTCAATTTCTTTCTTGACAAGTTTTTTAATGATATCTTCACCTCCCCAATGTTGAGTGAGTTTAGTGATACCCATAAATTTCAAGGATCATTATTGTGCAATTCAAAATGTGATGAAACAAGGTTCTTAAAGCCTTTTTCTATGTTTCTGCAGTGTTCACTGATTCTTATCTTAAGTTAGAAATAGCAGAGAGGTAGTCAGAGACACTAGTCAAGAGGGGCGGGGAGAGATCAGGGGAGGACAGATAGATTTGCTTGTCATCCATATAGAAGTGATATTGGAAACCAAAGGAGCTGACGAGTTTACCAAAGGAGGCAATATATATCGAGAACAGGAGGGGGCCAAGGACTGAACCTTGGGGGACACCAACAGAGAGGGGCTGGGGGGAAGAGGCAGAGCCAGAAAAAGAAACACTAAAAGAGTGCTGGGAGAGGTAGGAGGAGCACCAGGAGAGAGCAATATCTCGTAGACCGAGATTACGGAGGATGAAAAGAAGCTGTTAATGATCAACATTATCAACAGCAGCGGAAAGGTCAAGGAGAATTAGGATAGAATAGTGACCATGAGATTTTGCAGCGAGTAGATCATTTGATACTTTGGTCAGAGCCATTTCCACAGAGTGCTGAGCGCAGAAACCAGATTAAAATGTGTCGAACAGAGAGTTGGACTCGAGGAAGTCTATCAATCACACATACACAAGTCTTTCAAGGATCTTGGATGCAAAAGGCAGTAGGTTGATAGTTGGACGGGGAGTTAGGGTCAATATTGGGCTTTTTTAGAATTGGGGTTACAGTTGTGATAGAATTTATCTTGATTCCAAGGCTCAAGCTTATAGGTGTCATATAATGATATTCTATATTAAAATTGGCTAACTTGGACTCAGGAAATGCTTGATGCTTAACACGATACTTAAGACCATATATGTCTAGTTCCGGGAGCAGAGTGCCCCCACCTGAGATGTCTCTTCTCTAATCTTTTTGTTCTTTCTTACCTTGGAACTTATTTGTTTTGTGTACATGGCGTTCATCCCTATGTCTTATCTGTACTCACTTCCTATTACTGTTCTATGAGTATTTGCACGTAAGCACGTACTTTTTAATGTATAAAACCCAGCTGATGAATAAAACGACAGAGGCTTATTTTGAATACCAACAGGTGTCTGGTGTCTAATTCTCGCTTCTCCAAGTGCACTTGTATTAATAATTTGGGCTTCCTCTGAATATAACAAAGATCAATATTTGGATCCACAGCACAGTAGCATGTTTAAAGGGTGATGGAAAAGTTGTTCAAGTGCCTACAGTATCTCTTTCAGTGTGTACTTTTTGAATAACATTTATTTGTTTATTAAAAAAATTACATTTAGTTTGATAAGAAACAACATCCTTTACGATTGAATATTCAATATATATTTGCCTTAAAAAATACCCTATGTGCACATCCAAATGAAATGTGTTATACAATTGTACGTAATGTACTAAGCATTCAACTGTACATTTATGACAATCTTGCAAAATGGAAAAATACAGACAGATGATAAAATGAATAAAAGTATTTTCTTCAATTTGGAATTAAAAATGAACACTCTTGGAGCTTTTCACATGCTGGTTAATATAGTGCCTTTAAGTTTACATTTAAGGTTGGATTCAGCTTTTCCACAGTGGGAAAAAACTGAAACATTGGATTCAGCATGCAATGTTGCCATCAATGTTATGTTAGTAATAGTTTAACAATACATACTATCCATTAGATGTGTAGTATAGAACCAATGGCACCAGCACTACTGTGACCATTCAATGCACATTGTGCAGAAAATTTAAATATAAACATATAAAACATCCATACATTTAACAGACACCTCCAGTTTATCTATAGCTATTCTGTTTTTTCTTTTCACAGACTGAAACCTAAGCATCATGGGTTTAAAATCCACCATAAATATAGACAACAAAACAATGTTTGAGCTCTCAAATTGAACTCAGCTAAAAGTGAACAATGTAACACTCTCAATGCCGAATGAACAAATAGTACAAATCGTGCATAATAAAGAACCCACAATACTAATTGGTGCACTCTACATGAAATGCCTTATAAGTATTCACCCCCTTGCACATGTCCTAATTTTATAGTGTTAGACCCTGGGTTAAAAAAAATTAATGTATTGCAATTTTTGCCAATTGTTTAACATTTGTTTTAGATAACATACCTAATTCTCTGAAGGTGCAAAATATTTTTATTGTGACACAAAAAAATATTAGAAAAAATAGCAGGCATTTGTTGGTTGTATAAATATTTTTAAATTGTGTTAGCGCTATTTGTGAGAGTAAAATAAAAAGGGGGCTCTCTACTGATATTCTAAAAAAGAAAATATATGTACAGCCATTCTATATGATACAATATCTGTTGGTTACCAGTAAGCCTTGCTACTATTTGTGATATCTTATGGCAATGTATTTAGTCTTCTAAAGAAAAATGTGCATTCAGATGTCCCAGAGTTCCTTGATATTGTGGGGGTTAGATGCTGTAGCAGGTGTAAAAGTCTGCTGTTTAAAACCACAGTAGTTCGTAGCATCCAGATAGTGCCGTCCATCCAAATGACTCTCCCGTCTAAACCGAAACTTCTCCGCCATGCAGTACGCTATTATGGCTGGAAGGACGCCAGGTAATCAGCACGGTATCACTGCTCACTGTCCGTTAACTCCAGAGGCCATCAGCACATTGACATGTTTCGCCCTACTATCGCGGGCTTTCTCAAGCTTCCTTGGTACTTGCAGTCAGTGACTGTACTGAGTGCCCGTTAAATCCCTTTACTTTGGGTATCTGTTGTCCGGGGCTCAGAGGCTGGATCCTTATAATGCGAAGGGTATCTGCAGCCCAGACATAAAATGTTTGTTTAAGTAATGATCCAGTTTTCTTGCGGAGAGCCTTGATGCTACTAGGAAAAGGGGGATAAGAGTGATTAAAAAAAAACAATTTTTAATGTGGTAAGTGGTATATGGGTGGCAAAAGGCAAGGCAAAAGAGGTTTATTTTGGAGAAGCTGTTTGTATACAAGAGAACATGTCATTCATTGCTCTTTATACTATACTGACTCTGATTGTGCTAACGTAATGATCTCCATAGAGTCTGCTTTATCCAGACTGACTCTCAGCCATAGAAAGGAAAATACTGTACAGACTAACTGCTGAAATTTAAAGGGGAGAAAGAGATATTTATGTTTGAAATTTGTATGC